GGGACCTCCTCCATGGACAGTTACGACGGAAGAAGATAATTGTGGAGAATGTTTCTTCAGGATGTAGATGCATTTTCTATTTTTATTCAATGTGCTTGAAATGATGCCATTTCGGGGTGGGGCGATGCGATTGGAGGGGGCCGGTGGAAGGAGAGATAGAGGCATTGATTAGCATAAGGATGACGAATGTTTAAATGAAAACATGGAAAATCACTCTATGCAGCAACTCGTGTAGAGTTCACGAATCTTGCAGCACCTCGCTGTAGACGACATTGCATGTTTTCGTGCCGGGACCGTCAGGCAGAATGGTGTCTAAACGTTGAGGTAACTGATGTCTTGCACCATATCACCATATTTTTGGGGAAGTGCCTCAGTTGCACCCAATTGTTGTTACTAATACTGATTTTCGGGTGGGATGACTTTAAACTTAAACTGCCCAATTGAACAGCAAAAATCCCAGTAATGAATTTATTTTAGGCTAGCTACCATTGAGCAGTTGTTCACAGAAAAAAAACATGACTAAAATAGGATCCCCCTGACAAAAGTTATCTTGCTTGAGGCATCATCAACCCCCAGCTTCAAAAAAAGTGTAATTTGAATGCCTGTTGCCTCGTAGAGACGGGCATTGAACCCCGCCCACTACAAATGCTACATGACCGTCTCTTCATTGTCCATCTTTTGCGTTAGATTTCAACTCTCTAAATTGATTGTACGCTGTTTTTTTATTACAGACATTGAATTTTGCCTTTGATTTTTGCGCAAAGTTTAAAAAATCAGTTTTTTCGATTTTTTACATTCAAGGTTGTAATTTTTACCAGACAATTTGGACTCAAAACCGGCACTGAAAAATTATTTATAGAACAAAATAATTTTTTACATTCAAGGTTGTAATTTTTACCAGACAATTTGGACTCAAAACCGGCACTGAAGAATTATTTATAGAACAAAATCATTTCATCGAAATAGGATGAAAACTGTAAAAACGCATAAACAACATCCGATCACACACACACACACACATTTTGAGAATTATATAGATATATATAGAACATTTGAAGATATCAACAGTGTGTACATAAAAGTGCATCTTTTTTTTTTTTTATTAAGCTTCACCTAATACAAGGCCCAGCGTATTACTGTGCAGTGGTGTATGACCATAAAAAAGGCAATAAATTAAGTGCATTGGGGGGCATGCAGGACAGATGACGGTTAAGCCTAGGCTTGAAGAGGTCAAGATTGTAGTCACAGGGAAAACATCCCGCCGGGAGCCTGTTCCACAAGGTTCAATTCCTGCGCACGATGGTGAATAGAGGTCTCTGGATTTTTGGACACATTCTCGAGCACTGCGGGAATGTTTTCAGCTCTTAATCTGTCTAGGGTTCAGTTCGAAATTCCAACCACCTGAAGAAGGCTGGAGCGTACAACGGCCGAAACGCTGTGACAAATATGGCGACAAAGATGAGGACAATGGTCCGACTAATGTAAATACTGTACATAATACCTCATCTCAGAAATATAGACAGACTCTAATCTGTCTAGGTTGTTAAATCTGAAAGAAAAAGAAGAAAAAAAACATTAGACGCTTAAACTTGATTCCCGTTTTGTTGTATAGTAGTTTTCACAGTGGAGGCTTGTATTTCACTAAGTCGGTCCTAAATTAGGTTCGACGTACAAAACGTTAGGAACTTGAAATAATAGTTAATGACGCAACAATCTAGTTGTGGGGCTCATACTTTGACATCGACTGACTCACACAACTCGCTGAGCTCCCCTGGCGACTGCTACTACTACTACTTATCTGTGGGAGAGTCTATTTACAATAGAATAGGTACGTTCCGGTATAACACATTTAAAATCGGTCCAAGTTATTGGAACACCCTTTACAAGACGAAAGAGACACTCAAAGTGGCTTTTATTAAAACTTCATCAGAGATTTAGAGAAAAGCGACAAAAAGACAGAAACTGTAGTATTTTTTCAGTTTTTTCTGAGTCTTAGATACATATAGAATTATTTACGATTTAAGTGCAGGCGACACGTGTCTGACCAATGAGAAGTGACACAAACAAACTTGAAAATAACAGAGTTTCTCCGTTTTGTCTGTTTTCTCTCAATCTCTGATGAAGCTTTAATAAAAGAGAAACATGTTAGATTGATATACGTTTTCTATTTGTTCTTTATTTTATCATCCTGTCGGATTCCGACATTGATCAGTTATAGATTTTTTATTGATTTTTTCTAGGTTTCGTATCATTTTCCTTGTTTTCGGTAAATAACTAACATCTGAATATTTTCGGCTATTTTTTTTTTTTTTTTGCTATTATTATAAGCTTACGATTTTCTCTAGTTTGTTGGCTTCTTCATTTTCAAATATCGTATTCCGCGTGTGCACATAACATTTCGAGTGGCTCTTTTTCATCGAAATATATTTAGTATGCTTATTCCTATATTTGATAAAATTTTATTGATGTTGAGTGTTTATTGCATAAATCACCTCAAATCGCATAAAGCATTATCACACAAAATCATATAAATCACGTATCACATTAAATAACATACATAAACTCACATAAATCATATATCACAGAAAACCTCATAAATCACATATTACATAAAATCACATAAATCGCATATCGCATTAAACTACATATTACATAAAATTGCATAAATCATATATCACATAAAATCTCATAAATCACATATTACATAAAATCACATATTACATAAAATCACATATCTCATTAAATCATATAAATCACATATCACATAATATCACATATGTCACATATCGCATTAAATCACGACTCATTATATCATATAAAATAACATAAATCACATATCACATTAAATCACATATTACATAAACCCCATAAATTATATATCACATAAAATTACATATTTCATTAAATCACATATCACATAAAATCACGTAAGTCACATACCGCATTAAGTCACATAATATCACATAACTCATTAAATCACGTCTCATTAAATCACATATCGCATTAAGTCACATAAAATTACATATCCCATTAAATCACATCGCATTAAATCATATAAATCACATAAAATCACATAAAAAAACGAATCACTAAGCTATACAACACAAAGTACGACAGAAAATCCGACAGATACTTCGCAACAGCAAAAAGGTGTTATATCAAATAAACTAAAAAAAAAAGAAAGACAAATATTAAACGCATTGTACATGAATGCAAACAACCCAACATCAAAAAAATGATATCAAATTTAAGAACACACATACTAAACAAATAAATAAAAACAACGACACGTGAACACGCGCAAACGCGATATTTAAAAAATGAAGTAAACGACAGAGTACGAAAAAACAGAATTCCTTCCTAACTACAGCAGAAAGGACTCAGACATTGAACGATTTATATTTAAATATACACCGGAAGTGAAAATACGAACCTATTATTAAATATATATATATATATATATATATATATATATATATATATGAAGAAATATAGTCTTAAGGTCTGCTATATTTATGGGATAAAGTGCTCGATATCAGAGATAGAGCGTGTGTAAATATAAAAAGTGAACATAGAAGTCAACACTAAGAGCAATCGTCAGGCTTATGATTTCATATAGCATGAAGCAGACTGTCGCCTCTGAGTGTTGACTTATGTTCCCTTTATATATATATATATATATATATATATATATATATATATATATATATATATATATATATATATATATATATATATATATATATATATATATATATATATATATATACATATAACATTTAAATATAACATTTAAATAACAGTTAAATATATTAAATATACATCGAAGTCAAAATACGAACCTATTATTAAATATTAAATATATATATATATATATATACATATAACATTTAAATATAATATTTGATTAAGAGTTAAATATATTAAATATACATCGGAAGTCAAAATACGAACCTATTATTAAATATTAAATATATATATATATAACATTTAATTATATAACATTTAAATAACAGTTAAATATATTAAATATACATCGGAAGTCAAAATACGAACGTAAATATAGAAAAATAATTTTTAGCTTAAATCTATATTACAATTGCTTATATTTCACATAACTCATTAACGCGGATATCAGAGAAAATCACATAAATCACATAAAATCGCATAAATCACATATCGCATAAATTACATATCTCGTTGAATCACGTAAATTACATATCACATAAAAAGTTTTCTCTACGAAACGCCAGTAACGAAGTGCTGAATATAACATGCATCAGTTAAGTGACAAATTTTATTTGTATTAATCTCACACACACACACACACACACACACACACACACACAGAAATATATATATATATACACACACACACACACATGTAAGCACTTTAAACGTTATATTAAACTCATATCTAAGTAGACTCTCCACTAAAAATATCCACTAAAGATATCAACTAAAAATACGTTTAAAGAAATAAAAATCAGTTGAATTAATAAAAAAAAATCAGTTGAATTAATAAATAAACATCCATTATTTCTTTAGAAATCTATCTAGCTATCTATTTATCTCTCTCTCTCTCTCTCTCTCTCTCTATATATATATATATATATATATATATATATATATATATATATATAGAATAAGATGAATATTGTTTAGCCGCAGGAAAAAATAATTAGAAATAATTCTTTACAAATGCAAATTTAAAATGATTGAAGATTTCATTTCTTTTGTCCTTCGCTCTTGTTTCTTGGTGCAACCATCTGTTCTGATGGCCTTTCTCGATTGAAACCAACGTTGCAAATTCAATCGATTTTATTATTTAAATTTCTTTAAGGGTTTTTTCAAATATCATTAATTCATTTGGATGAAATTGATTTAGCTGGCTTTTTTGTTACTATATATATATATATGAAAACTTTAATAAATCCTTAGAAACAAATAAACATACATTGTTTTCATTAAAACAAAATAAAATAAAACTCTAAAAATACGTTGCTTTCTGGTATCGGAACTTATTTTCTGTATCAATATGTGGAAAAGAAACTGTCAACAGACACATATTAAATAATGTAATAGATAGATAGATAGATAGATAGATAGATAGATAGATAGATATGAAATGAAATGACATGAATGGGACAGATATGACAAACGGAATAAGAAAAAGACTAAAACAAATAAAGGTTGTTGTTGGATGTTGACATTAGTGTCGACTTTTATATTGACATACCTTCTATCTCTGACATTGTCAATTTTTAACGATAAATATACCATACTTTGAAACTATATTTTATCATCTCTCTCTCTCTCTCTCTCTCTCTCTATATATATATATATATATATATATATATATATATATATATATATATATATATAATGGACAAAGTCCGACAATTTATTTATTAAAGACATTTTTATGTTTAACGTTCTTTTTTATAGATACACGTATTTAAGTAAATGCTCTGTTTATAATAAACAGTATTAAATAACATTTACCGGCCTGAATGTCCGAGAAATTTTCATAGAAAATATTCGTCCTTTGACAGGATTCGAACCTATATATATATATATATATATGATACAGGCAATTGATCCTTTGGTATATAATCCTGGTGAATCCGAGTAATAAGAAATATTAAAACTCTGTGTGTGTGTGTGTGTGTGTGTGTGTGTGTGTGTGTGTGTGTGTGTGTGTGTGTGTGTGTGTGTGTGTGTGTCTGTGTGTGTGTGTGTGTGTGTGTAGAAATACAACAAAAATGAAAACCTATGTATTGAGATCATATTTCGTCTTTGTTAGGTAAGCGTAGTGGGAAGGTGTGTCTGTGCGTATTTTATATTATTAGGTTGGTGCAAAAATAATGACGTAATAATGTCGTTTTTGACGTTAAAAATACGTCAAAAAACGATATTATTACGTCATTATTTTTGCACCAACCTAATAAAACTCTTAATGTTTGTTTGCTAGGTTTCTGTCTTCCGGTTGTAATGCAAAAACACTTTATTAATAAATAGTTTTATCACTTTGTCTGATTTCTCCACTTGTGTTGTATCTTACTAACACATACGCACACACACAGACACACACTCATATATATATATATATATATATATATATATATATATATATATATATATATATATATATTTATATATATTTGGATAGATAGTGAGTTTGTGACCTGGGTTTCACGCTTTACTGATCGTAAAGCATGAAACCCAGGTCACAAACTCACATCTATCCAACCAAATATGTTAGCTCTATCTCTGATATTGAGCGCTTTCTAATAAGTACCACGCATATAATATATAAATAATTATACATATATATATTTATTTATATTTATATACACTTTTCACACACACACACACACACACACACACACATATATATATATATATATATAAGAAATATAGTCTTAAGGTGTGCTATATTTATGGAATAAAGTGCTCATTATCAGAGATAGAGCGTGTGTAAATATAAAAGTGAACATAGAACATAGAAGTCAACATTTCATGCTATATGCAATCGTCAGTCTGTTTCATGCATATAGCATGAAAAGACGTCGGCTCTGAGTGTTGATTGCATATTCACTTTATATATATATATATATATATATATATATATATATATATATATATAAACATGCTTACAAGTTTTGATAAAAATGTCAGATTTTCTTTATAGAATTTAACAACGCTAAACAAACGCTAGTTAATAACGGCGTTCCGAACTACCTCATAGATGACAAAATAAGATTTTTACTTCCCAAGGTGACCAATAGCAACACTGAATATACAGATAAAAACAATAGCATTAATATTTTCTATAAAAATAAAATGCACGTTAACTATAAGCAGCATGAATCTTCTAGAAACATTATAAAGGAATGCATAACTGTAGTTGACAGAAACAATCAAATTAAATTAATTATCTACTATAAAAATTTCAAACTGCTACCCTCATCATCAACAACAATAACCCATCTGCACGATCCACTATCCAAATTACAGAAAACAAATATTATTTATGAAGGCACATGTCCTTTAAGGAACTAAATAATTATATTGCATATACTAAATCATGCCTAACAAGTAGACACACGCTCAATTAGGTCTCATTTTAATACACACCCAATTCCATCAGCAACATATTCATTGACAATAGAAATATAATAGCCTCATCCACATGCTAAAGAGTTTATAAATAATAGAAGCATTATTAATATAAATAAGTAAGAGCCAACACTTAATAACATCAACTATGAATACGGCTGGCCGTGTTTGGAAAATAAAACTGACCGTGTTTGGAAAATAAAAACACCCCCTATAACTCTAGATGCATACATGGACAAAAAAAAAAAAAACATACATTCAGTTAAAATTAAAAATAAAATCATCCTTGATAATGGCCGGAAAATAGCCGAAAGCGATCGGGCATGCAGAACATTCAAACAATTTCGACAAAATTTATGTTCTGATAAGATAAAAAAAAAAAAAATTATATGAACGCAAGAAAAAGTAAATGAAAAAAAAACTTACCCGTAGTGCCTTGCCAGTCGTTTTTTGACCGAAAAGTGTATAAAAAAGGAATGATAGCCAAAAACACACACACACATATATATATATATATATATATATATATATATATATATATATATATATATATTCTTTATCGGGTATTCTATCCATGTTCACGTATTAAAAGTGCTCAACCTTATGAGGAGCAAATATCCAAATGAAATGAGAACAAATCAAAAATAAAATTTAAACATTCTCAGCATTAATTTAAAAATAGGTCTCAATACAATAGCAGAGCGATAATTAAGCACTTTTACAATTAATTTAATACGCGAACATGAATAGAATATCCGATAATAAATAATTATCGCTCTACTATTTTACTGAACCCTATTTTTAATTTAATGTTGTGAACGTGAAGATATTTTCTACGAAATTTCTCAAACATTCAGGCCGTTAATGTAATATATTCTTTATTTAAAAGACAGATCATTTACTTAAATAGACTGTATCTGTTAAAAGAAATGTATAAACAGAAAATATATTAAACAATTGTCAGACTTAATCCATTTCATATGTTTTCAATGTTTATGTTAACATACGTTTCATAAGCAGATATGATTTTTCGGGAAATATCGTGGAAGAGTTTTTGTTTATAAATAGTAATTTGAACTTTGCTAAACAGATGCATTTTTGTAGTTGAGCGATATAGCACATCAAATCAGCTCAAGGTTCCGTATAGGACACCGGTTCGATTTCTGTCGGAAAACGAATAGTTTCTAATTTTATTTTAAGTTTTCTTGCTTTATTTTCTGGATACAGTGTGTAGAAACTGTCCAAATGTTCTATAATTCTGAGCGCTTTCGGCTATATATAGCCATTATCAAGGATGATTTTTTTTTTTTTGCTTTTTAACTGGGTGCATGGGTTTTGTGTATGTTTCTAGGTTTATCAGGAGTTTTATTTTCTGAACATGGTTAGCACATTGTGGCCGTGATAAAAAAAAAAAAAACTTCCTAAAAAGAGCACACCAGAATTCATCCTCTCGACTACTCTTCCCGTAAAGAACACAATAATGTAAAACAGACATTAATTAACAATGGTTTCCCTAACAACTTTATAGACCAAAAAAACTAGACTATTTCTCCCCAAAGTAAATAACAATGATAGTGAACATACAATCAAAAATAACAAAACTATTTTCTACAAAAACCAAATGCTCATCAACTACAAACATGATGAATCTTCGCTTAGAAATATCATAAAGAAATACACTACCCCCAACTGACCCTTACAAAAATCAGATTATCTACTACAAATTTTTTAAAACGGCTAACCTTATCCTCACAAATAACAACACACCAGCGAAATCAAAATTACAACGAACGTACATTATGAGTACAAATGCCCCTTAAGGAACTGTGTTCCTGATTAAACCGAATTCATAAATAATTATATCGGTCACACTACTACATGCCTATCTGGACGCCTCACGTTGCCCCTATCTGACCACAGCTCTATTAGAATCCATTTAAACATACACACAAACTTACCAGACTCCATCCAAAACATACTAGTAGAAAATACAAACATAATAACCTCATCCATATGTAAAAAAGATTAAAAATAATGGACGAAAGGAAAAGAAAAAAACAAACAATATTAACTACGAACACGGCCACAATGTGCTAATTGTGTTCAGAAAATAAAATAAAAAATCTCTATAACCCTAGAAACATACACATAACCCATGCACCCAATTAAAAGTAAAAATAAAATCATCCTTGATAATGGCTAAAATCATATCCGAAAGCGCTCGTATGTGTCCAGAAAAGAAAACACTTGTTCGAACACAAGAAAAATTACATAAAAAGCTTAATCGTAGTACTTTGTCTGCCATGTTTAATGAAACATGTATAAATGACAGATTGCTGCCTAAATAAACTATATATATATATATATATATATATATATTGTCACATTAGAACATGTAAGCTACTACTAAAATTTGTACAGTTTATAATAAATATTTATTGCTCTATTCTTGTATTGAGCCCTGTTTTAAATTATGTTTTGAACGCTGGAATTTTTATCCTTCGTTCTTTTACATTTGTACATATATATATATATATATATATATATATATATATATATATATATATATATATATGTATATATATATAGTGAGTATATCGTTAGTCTCCGTGCCGTGAAAAAATTGGGCCTTAAACTCATTCCTGGCCTCAAGACACATTGCTAAAAGATGTATACAAAATGGTCAGTTCACTGTCCCAATCTCGTAAGTACCTGACTTCTCGTGCTATCCCGTACATTTATAAGAGCCAGATCAAGCCTTAAATGGAATGTTTTTGTTATATTTGGGTAGGAGCTAGGCAGCCCTCACTTTCCAGTCTCGATAGAGTCTAAAAGCGTTTCAGAATCCTTAGAGGTAACAAATTATTTCCCACCCGCAACATGATTCTCAAGGCGGAATGTGGTAAACCACTCACTGTTCTATCGCTACTTCCATGGAAATTGCTCGGGCGAACTACATTCCTTGGTTCTGCCAATTCTAAACTTCATGGCTAGAACCCGTCATTCCACTCATATTGT